TCCCCTGAGGAGTAGGGGGAGAAAATGGTTTATTAGGTTGTGTCTCACTTTCAAATGATCTGTAAACTATAAAACTTTTCTAAATGTTATTTATATTATTTTCCATGTTACATCAGTGAACTATTCTTAAAAACTTGTATAGGTAAGTAGGAAGACATATATATCACAATTAAACTATACAGGAAGTTAATGACTGACTTAAATAAATTATATTTAATTATAGTGCAGCATATACATGTGAATATACTTGTAATTTAAAATAATAGATATTTTGAGAAAATAATCTCTATAATACATCAAAGATCATAGAGGCCTTAAGTATATTCTTTATTAAAATATGCATATATATGAACCTATGTACTTTACAGAAAACTGTTTTCTGCCCACAGTCTACTACACTTTGCTAGCTGTTTCTTCTCTTTCTCCTCCTCGTGTTTTTCTTCCACCCCCTCTTGTTCTTCTGTAATAAGCTGAGATGGTGTCTCAAGGAAAATTCAATGATACCAAATATACTTTGGATTGTGTCTTGCAATACATAGTGCCATACCATGCTGATCTTTACAATTGATAGCTATTATCCCCCCCAACAATCAGTTGAGTGAGTCACTCAAATTTATTTGAGACTGAGTTGAACATGCTTTGAATGGAAACATTTTACCTGATAATTTAAAAACAACAACACATTTATTTCCTAACAAGAAAGAAGAGCACACAGATGGGTATTGTGAAACTAGGTGTGGGATACCTTGATCCAGTTTTTGAAACAAAGAATGTCTCTCTGTTGTGATAGTGAGTGGAATCTTCTTGAAGTAAAAACAATAACTCGTTGGTATCTCAATTAATTTTATTGATTAGCGCATTGGTTTAAATTTATAAGGCATTTAATTTAGTAGATGTGAGATGATAATACTGCTGCTGCTGATGATGATGATAATTACTTGGTAAGCAATAGAAACCCATCTCAAACTAGGGTAGGCAAAAGAAGAATTGAATTATACAATCACATTAAGTGTGGAAAGGAAAGAACGAAAGGGGTAAAGAGCTACTGCGCATCTCCTGCTCATGAAAACTAGAATCGGGGGGATTGAGTACTTGAGTACTATGTTCTGTCTCTGATTCTGTCTCTCTTCTCTTTCTTGCATTGAACCAAACTTTCTCAATCTGAAGTAATATTGGAATTTATAGAGTTCAGATTTAATATGTTCAATCCAAAAAACAACCAATAGTTATTTCTAACTTGTTTGAAAAGTCCTGGTAATGGATTCAGATTTACCTGGCTTAACCCAAATGCTCAATGCTGGAACATCCTAGATAGTAAAAGGCTAATATGCAAACCAACTTAACGGCAGAAGGACTGGTCGCTATTTCACACACTGACCACCAGGGGGAAGATGTTCAATGCAGGAGCTGCCCCCTGGTGGTCAGTGCGGTCCCACAGGAGGAGCACCGCTCAGCCAGAAGCCAGGCTCACAGGCTGAGGGACCCCCCTGAGTGCATGAATTTTGTGCACCAGACCTCTAGTACACCTATAATTCAATTGCATTTATCAGGGCATAAAGACCAAATATAAACTTCTAGCATGGCTTATTCCTAATTATCTGTGAGACTTTGGGATATTTACCCACATTACTAGGACTTAACTACTCTTTCTATCAAAGGAATATAATTAATACCTGATTCCCAAGTTATCATTAATATTTGTTGAACTTTTAATAGTCATTTGTAGTACAAGGAGTTATTTTTACAACAGCATATATCTATAAAAATACTCACACATTAAAAATGTAAGTAATTTTATAAAAATCGTATAGGAAATAAGTGTCAGAAATAGTTTTAGAACCAAAGCCTTAAACAGTATTTTTTAGATAATATAGGTAAAGAAGTTAACACAGTGCTAGTATACGAATTCTCAAGATGTTAATATCATCATCAACCATGGTTGTTCCCACTGTGTGAGTGTGTGTATGTGTGTGTGTGTGTGTGTGCAGTATTCTATATAATCTTCTATACTAAAGAGCTAAGATGCTAATTAGACCAGACAGCAGAACAACCTTGGAATGACCTCCGGGAATGACCAGTGGGCGGGGGCAGGGCAGTGGGGCCGCAAGGGCAGTGATTTCTTCTCACTGTGAGATTTCTTTGGCCATTGTCTTTTCTGATAACCCTTGACAGAGAAATTGGAGAGCATTCTTCATTTCCTGAGGTCTGTTCTAACTACGATGCCCACTTTGGATAGATTGTAAGCTGTCCAATTGAATTAGATGGAGCCAGTGACTTCGGCAGGGGTTAGGATCCCATAGGCCTTAACCAATACTTGGATAGATTGTAAGCCTTTAAAGCAAAAACGTCCAATTGTATTAGATGGAGCCAGTGACTTCAGCAGGGGTTAGGATCCCATAGGCCTTAACCAATTATGCTGGCAATCAAAATATTGCATTCATTTTCAGTGCATTGGAAAACATTTGGGATATTTTAACATGGCATGTTGATAAAAGGTTAACCCGGCTACAGAGTTGAAATAAGTTAGTGGGTAAAAAAGGGTTTGGTTAAAGGGAGATCGGATAGAATCTATCACTCTAGTCCCTGAGGAGATGGCAATGGCATACAGAGAAATGGTTTGAAGTGGAGGGTGATGCTCTGTTGAGGTTCCCCTAGCTATTTTAATATGCCCACAGAAAGGCACGTGCACACACACGCACACACACACACACACACACACACACCATACACTCCAGTTTTGTATGGTTTTGCTTCTTCTAATGGCTTGCGCCTGCAGGTCTCTTTGGAGAACCTCCTTTAGCCACTTTGCCCACATGCAGAGGGAGCTTAAAGTGCCTATAACTTGACAATTACCTCCAACAGAATCCCTGAGCCATTGTCTAACAGGTGCAGAAACATGAAAACCTACATGTGCTATACATCCTAGAGCTCCCCTGCAGAATCATGCTGGGGTTGGAACTTTGACTAACATTAGACCTTATTTTGATTGTACCCTGTCGCCTGATTGCCCCCAACTGCCTCCCCTGCTGTCCTGGCCCCCCCCCCCCCGCCCCCCCCCCCCCACACACACACACACTTTCCCTAATTTCCTGGTCTGGAAGCAATGTTTTAGCTAATTGCTTGCACACAAACCCTCACCTCAGTGTTTGTTTCTGGAGAACAAGACCTAAGACATAGATAAAAATCTGTATATTTATAAGATTAAATACTACCATCTCATGTATTGGTCATTATAGCAGTGGAAAAAAATAAATATCATTTTTAGATTTTTAATTTGTGAACTGAGCTATTCATTGAGTGGAAAAGCAGTTCTGTTAGAAAAATAAAGAATTAAGTTTTTTTTTAAATTTTTATTCAAAATAAATAAATAATTTTTATACTGTTATTGCCAACAACATTTTGGCATAATAATAGGAAGGAAAAATTCACTATTCTACTGATTTTACATCATTTAATTTATATATTTACTAAAGGCCTGGTGCACGAAATTCGTGCACTTGGGGGTGGGAGGGAGTGTCCCTTAGCCTGGCCTGCACTTTCTTGCAGTCTGGAAGCCCTCAGGGTATGTCCAACTGTCAGCTCAGGCTTCTGGCTGAGTGGAACTCCCCCTGTGGGAGTGCACAGAACACTGGGTGCAGCACCTGTGTACAGTGTCTTTCCCGTGGTGGTCAGTGAGTATCATAGCAAACGGTCATTCCGCTGTTCAGTCAATTTGCATATTAGCCTTTTATTATATAGGCTGTCAGCCTTTTAAAGTAGAGTCTTCTATATTTCCTCATATTCTTTTTTAACATATTTTTATTGATTTCAAAGAATAAGGGAGAGGGGGAGAGAGATAGAAACATCAATGCTGAGAGATAATCATTGATTGGCTGCTTCCTGCATGCCCCCTACTGGGAATTAGGTCTGTAAACATGGCATGTGCCCTTGATCAGGGTCAAACCCGGGACCCTTCAGTCTGCATGCTGACACTCTATCCACTGAACCAAACCAGCTAGGACAACTCCTCCTCATATTCTTATGAGGAAACTGAGGTACAAAGAGGTTTAATTATTGCCCCTATTGAAGAACGAGAATTAATCTTGGTATGCCATTGCACTTGGGCTTACCCTGCTAACTTCTATGATGCTGGATGCTGGCAACCAGCACTTATTCTAACTTGCCTTCTGTATTCTAGGCAATTTGCTGACTCTTTCCTCAAAAAATTTTATTTAACTTTCACCTCAGTAATATTACAAAGAGAGAATGGCTGTGTTAGAGGATTAAATTAAGGCTTTTCTTGTTGAAGTAAGTTACTAATATCACAGGATTATAGGCACTTCTGGAAAAAAGAAGGAACTGAGGATTTGAATTCTGTATTACTGATGACAATGTTTGTAGTAATTATACTGCTGCTAAGTAACAATGCTCCATAGGC